ATAAATATTAAATTTTGAATTGAAATAAATTAATATACTTCATTAAATAGAAAATATTTTATGCATAAATAATCAAGTGTTTTGTATAAATGCTTCAAAAAAAATGGCAAAAAATCATTAAACATATTTTCTCACTTTACTTCTGTTTTTATAATTACATTCTAAACAACAATGTTAGTTTTTATTGGTAGTACATTGTAAATTAGCTTCAAATATTACATTTATTTTCGTGTTAATACATGAATATAAAGTAATATATTAGTGATTTAATAGTAAATCAGAAATTCATTGAATTATGATAAATAAAACATTTGTTATCTAACATTTACGCTTTATACAAATATTAGTTTCGTTTTAATTGAAATTTTATTAAATTTCCTTTTAATTTTTTTGTATAACTTGGAAAAAATTATATATCACATTACATATCTTCAGAGCCCATTGTATTTGTTACTTAATACATGAAAATATATAAATACTCTGAGGAATGTGTTGTATTATGAAAGTGTAATACATAATATGTATGGTAATTAAACCATTGACTGATTAATAAATCAAGTTTTAAGTACCTGCTTGTACAATCAATCTATTTGTATATCTTAATATGTAGTAGATATTATATACATAATGTTATAATTAATAAGATGATACTTATGATATTTTAAAGACACATTAGATAAAAAATTTTTCAATTTTGTCACTTTATATGTACCTGATATTTGATAAAAAATACAATAATATACCTAAGAATTTTATACACTGTTTTTATAAAAACGTAAATTTTTATTATATACGAACAGTAAAAAATTTTTTTATCTTTACATTATAAATAATATTAAACGTTTTATTTCCTTCTACACAAAATAAAGGCAAGAAGTTATAGCAACAATTACAACAATTGTGCGTTAACCATTAATTTTAAGACACAATAGAAAACTTAAAAAGAATTAAAACCTTTAACTTTTTTTTTATTATTTGTTTAAACAGTTTTCAGGACATAAATTATTTAAAAAATCATCAATTTTTTCTTTTTTAAATTCAAAGCTTCTTTGAAAGTTATCGTTAATTTAAATTTTTTAGTAAAAAAAAAAATTGCATACAAATTTTGTAAATTAAAAAGTGCATTCCATGGAATCAGTCTTGTTTTAAAAAATATTAAGTAAGTTTTATATAGTTTACATAAATGTTTAATATTACCTAAATGCGTTTTCTATATCTAAAATTGAGAAAAAGTAAATGAAATGTTGTTATTCAATTTTAACAGATGACTTATTATACCGATTTAAAAATTTTTTAACATTTAAAGTTGCGTTCTATAATAATACATTATATATTTTTTATACACTTTAAA